CCTCCCTCCCTGACTCACTGGACCCACTGCAGTTTGCCTATAGGCCAAATAGGTCAGCTGCAGATGCCATCTCCCTCACACTACACACTGCCCACCTGGACCAGAGGGACACATATGTGGGAATTAATTGACTACAGTTCAGCTTTCAATACCATCCTAAAACTCATCACCAAGCCCAGAGACCTTGGACTCAACACCCACCTCCAGGCTCAGAGACATCTTCAACCCACAGGCCATAAGACTTTTAAACTCCTCCAATGTGCCGTAGGACTGTCATTCCTCCAAACTTTGCACAACCCAATCAATATTACTTACATTCATTCATTCATTCATTCTGGCCGATCATGTTGACCCAAGGACCATGGCAGTCCTTCTACTGCTTGAAGTTATCAGTTGTAAATTCAAAGCAAATGATGATGTTTAGTCAAATCCTCATATCCATGTGTGTTTTTAATTGATTACACTGAGCAGTGGGCTCCATCTAAAACTGGAAGCTTTCACAAGAAGCAAACTCAAACCAACTCAGACTGACTTTCTTAAACACAATTATCAGTATAGCAAAAAGAACAAGAAGAAACATTAAGCACTCAGCTAAATCTTAAACATTTCTCAAGTCTATCACTGACACATAGCCCCGTTTTACATCAATGTTGGCATTCACAACGTCACAAAACCCTGTCAAATCTCTGCTTTTTCCTCTGGCTGCTGGCTGTTTTATGGTGTCATGGCAGTCACTAGCAAACCAGCCCTGCTGCCCAAGTTGGACACACTGCTGAAATACTTAGGTGCTTTGATGCTTGGTAAAAAACTCAGCGTGTCTACATACAAAAAGTATACCGAGTCAAATACTCTTAATTATTAGGTATGATTCAAAATGTTCTGATAGTACCAGACGTGACGTTTCACATTGCTATCTGACTTCTTCAAAAACGTTAGACTGATAGCTAGGTTAGCTTCATAGTTTATTGTGTTAAATGCCACTTTACGTCACCTCATAATTTACCACTATCAGATACACGTGACGGGGCACATGACATTAGCTATATGTAGTTACGTTGCATTGGTCTTAGCTTGGCTTGGTCTCTAGAATGCCAACCAGCTAACTACCAAAGAGCGAGTGTTAGCGGCTGGCTAGCAAGGTTAGCTACAAACGATGAGAACGTACCGTCTGTTGCTGGTGACACTTGTTCCGAAGACAGCAACAAAGAAGAAAGGACTCGTTGTGCTTTCCAAAGACGAGTTTCAGCTCAGCAGTGACTTGTTCCGCTGCAGTGCCGTGAATTATGTCCTCTGTGCCACTAACACTTATTTTCCTCAGTCTTAGGTCCCACCTATCTGTTCCGTTCCGTTCCGTTCCGAGCGACAACAGCTCCTCTGGAGCTTGCTCTGTTGTTCACTATTCTCGTTGTAGCTCACAAATTCAAATGGTATCGCGAGATTTACACCAACGCTGCATGGGCCTTGAAGGTCTTGTCAGATTTGTTCTGAGCTGACATGTCACCTGCAGAGCATAAATAATAATATCACTTATTATTATCCATGCTATTGTTGTTGTTTTATTATGAGCCATCATATGCCGGTGCTCCAATTCCCTGCTCAAATGAACACTCGCTAAATAACAGGTGTTGATAAAGATACTTAAACAATACAGGGATCTTTCACACATTTGTATTCCATTAATTTTAGAGTTAGCATAACATTTTTAATATAAAAGTAGTGTACAGTTAGATTTCATAGCAGAAGCATTTGAAGATGGCTGGGACTTTGTAAATGTATCCTTGAATGAAAAATCTAGTTCAAATGAGCAAATTAGGCCATTAGGTTTTCAAAAACATGAAACTGTTGGGATTTGTAGCAGGCATTGATTCAAGATTCAATATTCAAGATTCAAGATGTTGATTTGTCATATACACAATAACAGACACAGCGGTTTATTATTGGGTAATGAAATTCTTACTTTGCAACTGCCCGACCAAACAACTGTGCTTACAAATATAAAAAGAAAAGCAGAAGAAAATATATATAAAATGTGAAATTTGTTTTAATTTCACTCGTTGTTTTTCTCCTTTCACTTTCATTTTTATTTCTGGATGGAACTGGTTATTCGAAGTACTTCCTTGTCATGTCTGTATATTGTTGATAAGATTTATTTCTACGACTCTAGACTCTTGATATGGCATTGATAAGATATTTAAGTATTTAAGATTGGAATCAGTCGTATTTACAACAGAAAACACCGTAAGGGTATATTATATAATATATATAAATACAGAGATTTAGCATATCCCTGTTTGTATATAATAAGTCCATTACACATCAGCCCAACACCCCTGTGATCCCTGAGAAAAAGTTGCAGCTTTTTTAATATGATGAGTTCAGTTCCTCCATATAAGATATAAATTGAGTTGGATTATTGAGTAAACAAAGTCTAGTGCTCATGAAGGTGTTGAGTGAACAGATGCTACCTATTTTGGTGAGATACATTCTACTAAAAATGGAAAGATGTCTTTTTCAATTAAACATAAAGCCTATCTTTACATTCATCCACTTTGTTAAATCAAGCAGGTCATGCTCAGTCAGATCTTTTGTTTACATACAGTAGATATCTGGGCAATTCACTGCAGTTTCAACAGATATACTGTATCATCAATCACAAGACTCCAGAAGCCTTTGAAAAAAGATTGATATTCTGTATCGCAGCCAGAATTTGATATTCATCTGTACATGCCATTTGCAAACAGATTTATTACAGATTCTGTTCCAAATATGTTAAGATTTAGTTCTCCCCTTTCTCCCTTATCATCATATTCAACATTCAGTAAAACCTTTCTAATCATCAAAATGAATTGAGGTACATGACGTCATGAAACGTAACTCGTAATGTTCTAGAATAATCTCCCATGACTTTTATTCAACATCCCCACAACTAAATGCATTCCAAGCAAAGACCTTTAAGTGATGTTAAATCATAAAGAATTCTTTTGAAATCAAGAAATAGAATGATGCTCTTTCCTCATCCATTTCACATAATTCAATTGTAAATGGGCAAGTATGATCCAAAATATGGTTGTCATGAATAAAATCATCACAAAGGGTGATGGTTAAGATTTTGAGATAATGTTGCCTTGATGAACATCAACTTACCTTGTAATAACTACCATTCATCATTTAGATGGGAGGAGTTATCCAAGATTTTTGGAAGTTAAGTTTTGTGAATTTTTTTAACTGTTTGAATGTGTTATGATCCACAACTTTCAGGTTCGGGAGGCAGGCACCATCTCTGCATTTAAAGTTAAACTTAAAATTTTCCTTTTTGATAAAGCCTATAGTTAGTTCTGGATCAGGTGAGTCCTTAGTTATGCTGCTATAGATCGAGACTGCTGGGGGAACTCCCATCATCCACTGAGCACTTCTCCACTTCTCTCTGTCTCTCTGCCCCCTCCACAACTATTACTATTATTACTATTATTAACAACAATACTAAAGTAATTAATTATTATATGAATTGTTACTGCTATCATTAATAATCAATAACTTTACACAGTTATTTTTTACATTTTAACCAGTCAGAGCTGATACCTGATGGTGCTCAAGTGTTCCCAGTCTCTCTCGCCTCTCTCTCCCCCTCCTCTCCCTCCCCACTATCACCCTTCCTTATCTCCTCTCTTTTCCACCTATCTCTCCTCTCCTCCCCTTTTTCTCTGCTCACTCCAACCGGTCGTGGCAGATGACCGCCCACATTGAGCCTGGTTCTGTTAGAGGTGTCTCCCTGTTAATGAGGGAGTTTTTCCTCCAGTCTCCAAAGTGCTGTTCATTGTGGGAACTGTTGGGTTTCTCTATATTAATACGATTTTAAGGTCCTGACCTTCAATGTAAAGTGCCTTCAGATAATGTATATTATGATTTGGCACTATACAAATAAAATTGAATTGAACAATTGCTGCATTGCAATTCACTTCTCAGGTGGCACATTTTGCAGATTTGGTTTCCGTCACTTATTCTGGTTATTGGACCAGTCAACAGATAGATGATTAACACAAACTGTTTCAAGTTCATATTTCAAGTCTTAGTTTCAGCATTGCATAGTGTATGTAAACAGGGTATTAAACTACCATGAGTGAATATATAGTAGCTGTAGTTTACCATAAAGCACAACCTCCAAAATATTTGCTTGTAATAAAGCATTTGAGCTGGTTTTTAGTGCTCATCTATCATGGTCAAACATTTGAGCACTTAATGTTTTTTTCCTCCTCCCTAACAAACCAGTTGTCAGTTGAGGGGGCTGCGTAATATACACTCACCGACCACTTTATTAGGCACACCTGTTCAATTGCTTGTTAACAAGAAAAGCTAATCAGACAATCACATGGCAGCAACTCAATGCATTTGGGCATCTAGACGTGGTGAAGACGACTTGCTGAAGTTCAAACCAAGCATCAGAATGGGAAAGGGGATATTTTCTTGGCACACTTTGGGCCCATTAGTACCAATTGAGCATTGTTTAAACACCACGGCCTACCTGAGTATTGTTGCTGACCATGTCCATCCCTTTATGACCACAGTGTACCCATCTTCTGATGGCTTCTTCCAGCAGGATAATGCACCATGTCACAAAGCTCACATCATCTCAAACTGGTTTCTTGAACATGACAAACTGGTTTCTTGTGCAAACAAAAGGGGCAGATAAATGGTAAATTAAGCTGACACCATGTTCTGGCCAACTAAAATAATACTACAGTGGTTACTGTATTCCTGCAGGTTGCCCTGACTTTAGCCCTTGAGATACTCATGATTAGTTGGTTCTATAAAACAACCGTGCTCTAGTTGGACGGATTTACCAGCTCTGAATGACACTGACACCTGGTGGAAGAAACCTCTTCAGATATGGCTATTATGACCAACACATGAATTACATCAACTGGTGTAAATGTGTGCATTACTTTTGTTTTGTATAATAATGGAGACAATGGGGACAATAACTGGTCATAAAACAGAGGCACATCTTTTGAATGAGAATTTATTACAGCCTGTAGTTTACGATACAAATCACCTTTCAAATCACTCAGCTACCACTTTCGTGAACATGGCTGATATTCTTTGCACTGACAGTAAAATGACATAAAACAGAGGAATGCATTCAAATTCATAAATTCAATTTTCTCTATTTTGCTATTTTTTTTTCCAACAAATTTTTGTTTATGATCAAGGTCTAGCCAAACCATCCCTAGACCTGGCAAAGTCAATTGTTTTCTTTTTTTATAAGAAATAATTTATCATTTTGCGATGTTTTCAGAGTTTTAGGTTTTTCAATGTTTAATATTTTTTTCTCTTTTTCCATCGGTGAAGCAGGTTTCAAAATGCTCGATCTGTAAGAGAGAAATTTGATAGTTAAGTTTACACTCTTGATAACTTGTGAATTTTTAAAAACAGAATTCCTCCCCTCACATACCTTAGACACTGGGAACACCAGCAGGGGTGGTGGACTTCTGAGCAGCCTCCTTGGCCTGGTGGGCCTGAAGCACAGCAACAGCCTCATCCACCTGAAACAAGACAAAATATATATATATATATATATATATATATATATATATATACACAAACACACACTGCATATGGAGCATTTCACATTTAACTCTTCCAAGTTTAATAATAACAACAGACGATTCGCTGTCCATTCATGAGTACTGCTTTATGTAGATGTTAAATAGCAACCAGGCTAATGGTACTTATAAGAAACAAAATGATCATGAGACAATAATCGCAGCCAAGTGGTTTCCAGAGATAAATCTGACAGATTAGCCATTAACTGACCTTCGAGCGAAGTGACTCGGGTGACTCGAGCATGTGAAGAAGCTCCGAGTTGTCGATCTCCAGTAGCATACCAGTGATCTTGCCCGCCAGGCTGGGGTGCATGTTCTGGATCAGGGGGAACAGACGCTCACCTGAAAGAACAGTTATCAACAACTATTGTGAATACTCTTGAGGTCAATGTAAGAAACCAGACACAGGGTGACTTTTTTTTATTAGTTTAACCCAAAATTCTAATGAAATCAGAGCATGTAAAGTACTAACCAAGCATCTGCTTCTGTTCCTGAGGAGGGGCAGCAGCCAGCATGGAGGCAGTCAGGGGCTCCTGTCCTTGGACATGGACAGCGGGCTATTGACAGGGGAAAAAATCGAAGCAAATTTTAATGACAATCAAGTAGTTATTACAATATAGTTCAAGACCTCATAAATGACTGGATGAGTTGTGTTGAGTATCATTTGAATTTTTCTGATTCAGGTGTAAATTTAAATTATGTTTATTACCTCTGCCAAATGATGATGCGGATTTGGGCAAAGGGTTAAAACCAGGATATATTTTTTGCACTTTGTAGAACATCGGAGATGGGGCATATTTAGGGGACTACTGTTACAGCTTTTTTACAGCTCTTTTAATACATAACGTAAGCCGAGATCTACTACCCCGCATCTATCCAATGCACAATATTCAAATTCATATTAATAGCATCTGTTCAATGCACAATATTTGTGTTCTAAGTTCAACAATATGTTCTGCTGAAGAGCTGCTACTGTAGTACAATGTTTTTATATAGACTTTGCCTTAATATGGCCATAAATGCGTCTTCATACCATAGAGTCCTGACATTTAATACCATACCCAATTTGTATCGAAGGAAATACAGTAGATGAACCAGCAGCTACGCTGCGAGTAACAGACACACTGCGCTTATGAATGACAGACAAAAGATTCATCTGCAGCGCAACCGCAGCCCAGAGAGTTACAGAGATCGACAGTGAAGACTATCGAGATCGACCAGTTGGCGACCACTGACATGGACCATGCTTAGCCAGCACCACAGAAATGGTGGTTTAAATTTTGCTGTCAGCAATCACCAAGTATGGTCAAGTTTATTTAATATTCAATCACCACCTGCTTTTGGAAAACATGAAACCTATGCGTAATCACCATGTTTGGAGATGAAACATTTTCCCCAATTCCTCATATTGAGGCAAAGAAAGTCAATGAGATTTTTACCTGTTGCATGGTGACCTGTGGCTGGGACGCCATATGCTGCTGGGGGTTGCGCACACCGGCAGCATATTTATACTGGGGCATGGCACGCACTGGGGCAGCAGTGGCTGAAGCACTGGCAGGGCGCTGGCTGAGGGCCTGGTTGGCTGAGGTGAGAGAGGAAAAAAATTTACTAAGTGACGAACACAAAGTGGCAGAGGATCAAAACATAGCAGATTCTTGTGTTCTTAGGACTGAAATACTTACGCATACGCTGAGAAGCCATCATGCGTGGCACCTGAGTGTTGGTGGTAGTGGTGGGACGGATGGTGTTAAAAGGCTGTGGCCTGGGAGCTGATGGGCGCATGGCACTGGGCATATTTTGGAAGTCTGAAGGAACAGAAAACAGAAGAGAACCACAATGTCTTTAGGTCGAAAGAGGTGACTGGTTGACTAGTTTATTATTACCGCATGCCTGGAGTTTGAATCAGTGGATGACAACCTATCAAGTTTAAGTTAACCATAGTTGATTATCCTGTCAATATATGCTGCTCTAGGCTACATAAAGCTGTTAAATAATGAAATTAGTCCTCGTTCTTAACTTGCAGTGATGATGTTGCATAAGGTAAATAAGCAAATCTATTCAAAATTGTATGCATGTTGTATCATGAAATCGACTGGCAGTAAAAGCAATGCAACATAGCCAAACTGTAGCCCGGGTCCACAGGCAGAAGGAATAAGTAGTAAAACCCACAGGCTAACAAGCACATAAGTGACTTTGGTACATTAATGAATTTGGAGAGCCTTGGAGATCCCAAGCACCACTCAATGTACTACATGGTGCAGTTTGGTGTGCTCACCAAGTGACGAGTACAGCAAGTTTGTACGAAAGGTGGTTTTAGCAGTATATGGGTTAGCAGTACTGAAGGGTTTCAGCAGCAAGCACATGTGTGTCATACTCTGCTCAAGTGGGTTTATGCCACTATGCAGTACTGAAATTAATTAATTTAAATGGCCAACAGTTCATTCTGCAACATATTAAAGGAAAATAGTCAGAGGAAGGCAAAAGCTTTTGTCGTTCTCTGAATTAACATATGGAGTGAACTTCTTTCTTTCTATACTTGGAGGTCTTTTAAGAGTAATTAAAGTGTGGTTACTTACGCGGAGGACGCGCTCCCTGAGTGGCCCAACGGGGGCTTGGGCGGAGCTGTGCCAGCTGGTTGGCAGAGTAGTAAGCAGCACGGTTCTGGGCCTGACAGGGTTAGGAGCAAAATTTCATCATTGTGTTGTATTTTACTGCCAAGGACCTCAATTTTTACATTCCCCAATTCCCCTACAACCAGCATATAATTCATATAATGCACAAGTACATTAATATTTTTTTGCAAATGGACTGGCTCACCTGAGGTATAGCAGCCATGAAATAGCCTGAGGGTGGGGCAGGCTGGTAAGGGTTGAGGACAGGGTTGGGCACAGCACGGACAGTGGCCATCCTCTGCATGTACTGATTGGTTAGATGGGCTTGACGCTCTTCTTTACGCTGGGCCAGGGCCACATACAGTGGCTTTGTTGCAACAATTCGACCATTCATCTCCGTTACAGCTTTAGTTGCCTCTTCTGGGGAAGAGAAGCACACAAATCCAAAGCCTTTGCTGCGACCACCCTCCATCATCACCTATCAAAGGAGGGAATGATCAATATTTATTTTTGAAATATTGCAGTCTTGCCAAGTTAAAATGAAAATCAAAAACTCTATTAAACATATCATGAAATATTTTCACATCACATCAAGTGCTGAAATCTTTACCTTGGCGCTTGTTATGGTTCCAAATGGAGAGAACTCTTTACGCAGACGCTCGTCATCCAGACCATCATCCAGGTTTTTCACATACAGATTGACACCCTGGTGTTAATTAAAATTGACAGTTAGACTAATCTCAAGAAGTCAAATCAACTCTTAGTCTTGTAGCACAAACGCTGTAGCACTTGAGACAGAGTAGTTGATCCAAGATTTTGAATGGCAGCTAAACGTGCCTTAAAGCTGTACTTAAAGCATTTGTTCCAAGGCACGTCCACTTAAACCACCCTTGTGGTATCATACACTGAATTTAATTACTCTGAAAAAGATTCAAAGGTCAACAAACCTGGTATCTGGTCATGCGATCTTGTTTCATCTGCTCAAATTTGCGCTTGAGTTCGTTCTGGCGCTCCCCTTTCTTCTGTGCACGGCCCACATACACTTGCCTGCCATTCATTTCTTTGCCGTTCATGTCATCCACAGCCTACAATTAGATAAGATGTCCTCTGAAACAAGCTTTAACAAGAGCTGCGTCTATATTGATTCAATGCCAAAAGCAGAGGTACAGTGACATTGTAGGGCATGTTATATTTTCCTGATAGACAGATGCATAGGAAGGAGGCCATGTGGAGTAGATCCTTACCTTTTGTGCATCTTCGTGTCTCTCGAAACTAACAAAGCCAAATCCCTTGGATTTGCCACTTTCATCAGTCATAACCCGGATACTGAGTGCTGGACCTACAACATACAGTGTATCAAAACCCAGCAGACCAAATCACACTGTTAACGTACTTAATCGTAAAACTGTTGCCGTAAAGCTCTTTATCTTACCATATTTGCCAAACAACTCCTTTAGCTTCTCATCATCCATGTCCTCCCCGAAGTTCTTGATGTAAACGTTGGTGAACTCTCTGGCACGTGCTCCAAGCTCAGCCTCCCTTTCTTTACGGGATTTAAAGCGTCCAACAAATCTGTTGATCAAATGGGAGAGGTTTAGAACAAGTCACACATGCTGTGACAAATTTTAGACTTATTTTCTTAACTCCTAACTTGGCTTCTTCTTGCTTAAAGGGGAAGTCCAACGAAAATTTTAATTTACTCATTATCTACTAACCACTATGCTGATGGAGGGGTTGGTGAAGTGTTGGAGTCCACAAAACACTCATACTGCTCCTGTGGTGTCATCCAGGTCAGACATAATAGGATATAAACATGGTGTACATGACACCGTTTCAAGTTGAATTTCAATGTTGGGGCTTACGGACACTTGGATGACACCACAGGAGCAGTATGGAGGCATTTTCTGTTTACATTTGAACATGATCACCATTTATTTCAACTGTATTTGATTTGGCTACAACGCTGTTAACCTGAAACTCCATTCACCCACCCCTCCATCAGCATAGTGGTGAGTTGTCATGATGGTGATAATGAGTGAGTTTTCCTTTTTCACTGAACTATCACTTTAAGATTTAAAACTGGTCAAAAAATAAATCAAATAGCACCACGTACTGCTGGTTGTATTGTCAAAGTTGAAACTGTATTTTTCTGATTCAATAACTGACCCACTAAACTGCAATGAATGACTAGATTCTTTTTGTTGTGGTAATGAGTGCTTTGGCAACAGTTTCAGCTCTTCCTATAGATGAACAAGTTACAGAACGTTGCCTGCAGGAAAGATAAAACTGCAATTGGCTTGTCTCAACCCATAGGAAAGTTAACTGCTTCATACCATGTTACATCATTACAAAAAAAACGATTTAATACCAGAAAAATTATAATATAATGATACTCCCAATCAGTATAATTACCATCCAATCTCTAATTAGCATATTCTGTAATGAGGTTGTTAGACCTTTTAAACCTCACTCATTTCTCTGGGAGGTTTGTCATTCTTAACTGGGTTTTTGAATGAAGACCAGAACATACATCTGGCATGAATTCTAGGTGAGTTTGTGGACAAGATGCAGTTCAACACAAAAAAACAAACTTTGATTAGATATAGAACTCATGTTAATCAGAGATCCTCAAAAACACAGACTTAAAACAGTTACCGTAAATGTAGTCCAACTTACACTTTTCTGTCATTGAGCAACATGCCATTCATTTTCTCAATGGCCCGCTCAGCAGCCTCGTGGGTCTCAAAGTGCACAAAGCCGTAACCCTTTGAGCCATTTTCATCACAAACCACCTTGGAAAAGGAACATTTGAGCATGTCAACAACCCTGAGCATCATGCAGTGTAAATAGACCCCACACACAATCACCTTAAAAACAACAGCAATCTTCAGTCATGCAAATTAGTGGTCTTTAAAACACTAAAACATACATGCAGACAAGGTGAATTATGTTGTGCCTACCTTGCAGGAAAGGATATTTCCAAATGCAGAGAAGGTGTCATAGAGCGCCTTGTTATCAATGGACTTGTCCAGGTTCTTGATGAAGATGTTGCCCACTCCACTCTTCCTCAGGGAGGGGTCACGCTGAGACCACATGATGCGGAGTGGTCTGCCTTTGATCACATCAAAATTCATGGTGTCCAGGGCTCGCTCAGCTGAAACAGATGACAATACCTCTGACATTAGCTTCAGGACAGGTTCATATATTTGCATCATGCAAAGACTTCTGTACTTCTACAGTAGATTCATGACGGATGCATGACATTCATAACTCTGACAGATATCAGTACATCACAACAACACATTGACTAAATCTATAGTGCTGATTGAAACAAATACTAAAACATGGCATGCATAGTCCGCTTTCAAAATGGAGTAGGATAGTGCCACATTCGTCTGTCTAGCAGTCCATACTTCATGACGTGACGGTACACCTACCATCTGCTGGCTGCTGGAAGTTGACATAGGCATAGCCGAGGGATCGGCGGGTGATCATGTCTCTGCACACTCTGATGGACAGGATGGGTCCAGCCGGGCTGAATTTCTCGTAGAGCATCGCCTCGGTAACATCTGGGTGCAGGTCTCCCACATAGAGGGAGGCCATTGGGTAGCTGGGCGCGCTGGGATTCATATCCGACCACGCGTGTTCTCAATAAGACAAATGTGGGATTGCAATAGTTTGATATGTCTAAAAACCCGTCAGCCTTTGCCAGCCCTCTATAAGGAGGGACTGTTTGCTTGGTCTCAGTTAGCTTCACAAAAATAAATCGGAGCGCCAACACTAAAGCTAGCTTTTTAACAGTTAGCAACGTGGGCTAGTTAGCTTGATTAGCAAATGCCGGAGCGTGGCCTAATCAATGTGGCTCGCACACTTCACAATTCTGAATCTGTTCTCTTCCCCAGTCAGTAAGCCGAGTCAGTATACGAAGCAACAGTCCTCGCTTTTAATACTAACTGGGATGACAAATCCCTAAAAGGGAAAAATAAGTGGTTAGCAGTAAAACTGGCTAACGCTAATCACACACGCTTTCAACAATGACGCTAGCTGCTCAACGTGCTACCGTTCCTCTCGTTCCGTCTTTCGTTGTTTTTTCGAAGGCAGTGTCTTCTTTGCGTTGCTTGGGTTTGGCAAATTAAATCCTGCTTCACCGATTTTTATTTTTCTTATAAAAATATGTCTGCGTGTGCGCTCTAGCTTTTAGTTTGTTTCATAATAATAAAATGTGTGCCGAGACTAGCTCCGGAGCACACCCTACGCAGACGGATTACGGGAATGAAAGGAAGGTCGGTAGAGGTTGTTTCACGATTGCGGTCGAAAACTGCTGCGTTTTCACCACCGAGGCTGACGTCACTCATCTCGCGATGTTTTACATTTGAAGGAACGTGTTTGGTTTAGGGTCCATGGTCATTTCACTCCACCGTAACACTATAGTGTATTCTAATGTGAAGTATGTTCTGCCAAATTAAAAAAAAAGGTAACAACTAATTTATTTGTGCTGTTTTGAAATCCATAGTTTTCATGATTATAATCAAGGGTTACAAATGTTTTCAACAAATGATACAATGTGCATCAGTAAATATTTAACCTTGAATAATTCGTTCATCAAGATCTGATGTGCGATGTAATTGTTCCATTAATTTCTTTGAGCAGTGTATAAACACAAGTCTTGTTGGTCCAGTCAATCCCTGCAGGTACCACACCAACTCTATCTTAATGTTTCCAGGTTTCCAGATGTGCCAGGTGCACCCTGTCACCAAAATACGTCTCAAAGGGGCTTCATCATGCAGTTACATTTCTTATAAGAGGCTGTTGTGAGATTACAGATTCATACCTACTGGCCACAAGTTATTTAACTTTCCAATGGCTTAATAAGTTGTGGCTATAGGACTTGGGCACCAGGGGGACTCCGTACAGAAGGGATGTGGGTGGAAACTGTTGTGAAGGTCGTGCACTGCGAGCAGCAGGCATTGTGAGAGAAGTAGTCAACAAACACAGGTGCTGCTAGTGACATGAATGACTGTTCTGTAGATACAGGGCCTTCTTTAATGTGATTAGTTAATGACCTGATTTGATCCACTGTTTCCAATCAAAATGGCTGCTGTGAAAAAGGTCTCTAAGTGCAGGGATAACAGAGAGCGAAGAATAACTCCACATTTATAAGTGCTAATACAATTGTGTGCAGACTGAGTGAGGGCAAGGGCACCTGGGAGTTCTGTGGTCGCTATACAGCCTGTGTTCAGTCATGGTTTGGGATTCATAGATAGTATTCCCCTCACTATCAGGACTAATAGGCAACAACTACAGCCAATCAGCACATAGGATGGGGTTAATTAAATTCTATTTTATTTGAATAGTGCCAAATGAGGTTACATTTGGGAAAAAAACAATAAGTTGTGTCCACAATTATCACAAGGCATTCAAGTCAGTTCAAGACAGTACAAAATTATAGAAAAACCCAACAGTTCCCATAATAAACAAGCACTTTGGCGATTGTGGAGAGAAATAGTGCCTGTTTAATTGGAAGAAACCTCAGGCAGAACCGAATACAAAGTGGGCCACCATCGACCTCAACCATTTGGGGTAAGCAGAAAAAATGGTGGATGGTAAAGAGAGGGGGGACAGTTGTCAAACCTTCAGAGTGGTTGTCATAAAAATAAGTGATATTTATAGTTGTTATCATGTTAATGATAGCAGCAGCAGTTGAATAATAATTTTGGTGCTGTCAGAGTTGGATAGCGATATAGAGCATTAACAATGGCAGAGGAAAAACACAGTTAGTGCCATGTAGTAAAACAGATCAATCCTGTCCTTTCTCACATTTTGTGATCAAGACCTGGTGAAAAAAATGTGTCAACTGTGACCCCCTTTGCTATGTATCTGAGAAAGAAAATACCCCAAATTCATTAGGATGGACAAATAATAGATTCAAACAATTCTTCATGAAGTTTTTTCCCCCCAGTAAATAGTCTCTAAATTGGGAAAATATAGCAGACTTGCTAGGTTGGGTATCGTTTGAATTCTATCCATCCCAATATGATAAACTTCAATTACTGCCCTGCTGTAATATGCCTCTGCCAACCAGTGCTTTTTCAGTCTACATACATTTTTTTCCTTGAAATCTAAGTCAGTAAGTCTTTGAGTACAAAAAACTGGTAAAAATGTTGATAAACTTCTTATATGCCAAAAGCATGTTTTGTGACCTGAGTAGCCACTAGCCAGTTAATTTAATCATCACTCAAGAGTTGAAATTCATTTATGCAAATTATAGATTTTTATCATATAAATGTTGCAATCAAAAATCTATCCATTAAGTGCTAGCATAATGGAGCAAAACAGATGAATCAACAGAAATTGATACTTTTTTTTATTTCACTTACATGAAGTTAGACATTTCTCCCAATAAAATTTCTGTACGGAAATTCCAAAAACAAAAAAACGTTCTTGCATCTCCAGAAACTACTTATCAACATGCAGTTTAGGCAAGTATTGAACAAAAACAAGGAAAATTGAAAAGTCATAAACTAGATAAACATTTTTCTTACTGCCGTCTTCTACAAAACAGCAACAACAAGCTTGTGTGTTCTTTTGTTCTTTAAAATTTTTTATACCTCACAAGTGAAAACAGAAATACAAAAGCAGGTCACCCAAAAACAGAACAAAATAATAGGAGTATAAAGTTAAGCAACTGACAAATGGAATGTCACCTTTGTGTTCCAAAAAACCCTGCCTTCTCTCAACCGATCCCCATCATTTCCTCCACTGCCCTCAACTCTTAGGTCATTCATGATACCAAGTACACATTAATTGCCGTTGGCTGCTCAGATGTGGCAAGCCAACACGTGACTTTGTGAAGAAAAAGACCATTATTATGAATAGAATACATACAGTATAACCTTTTTTTGTGTCTAAAAACTCAACCTGCATGCTTCATGAGTTGGAAAACTTTCCCACTCTCCCACCACCTCAATAATACAATAGATCTATTGCTCCCCCACACAAAGGTCAGCAGACAGGCAAACAACCCATACATTTGAACTTTTCATGTGGACCCACCCACCAAACAATTTAAACTATAACCTTACTCCCAGTTCCCCTTTCTCACAGTTACTACAAAAAAGGAAAACGTAAACAGAATAGAGATGAGTGTTGAGACTCCTAAATAGAAAAAAGATGATACGGGTTGGACCATGATAGTGAGGTCTGCTCAGTGTTGATGATCATGATACAAATGAGCCAGGATGATAGTAGGCAGACAGGGGGTCGCCTATGCCACCATCTGGCTCACTGTTTTGCTTCTTCTTCATCTGCATCAGTCTGGCTATCGGAGTTCCACAGCTGAGGAAAGACAGAAGAACAAACAAAAAGGAGAATGAGAAGCCGTAAAAGGGAAGAAGAGAAGAGGGTCAGGAAGTAAAGAAAAGAGGGAAAGATACATTAATGGCTACTCTTTAAATGATTGTGATTCATTTAAAAATTGTGAATGGATGAATTTGACTCCTAGTGTGAAGTGCTTGGAGTGGTCGTTATAAGTATATATCTATATGTAGCTGAAATGAAACTTACTGTCAAGTTGTCTCTCAATAGCTGCATGATAAGCGTACTGTCTTTGTACGATTCTTCACTCAGTTGGTCCAGCTCGCCAATAGCATCATCAAAAGCCTGCAGGAATTCAAACAAATTTTAGTTTGCCAGAGAAATGATGGCCAAGAACAAGCTGTGCCGTTATGGAGCAGTAGAATGTGCATGCATTTCAGGTCTTCACAAAATCAGTGCAAGATATCAAAAATGTTTGCATTTGATATTCTCCCAAATAAGAAAAGAAAGTAAAGTGGTCTTATGTACTTACTTGTTTGGCCAGCTCACAGGCATCCTTAGGTGACTGGTTGATTTCATAGTAGAAAACAGAGAAATTGAGCGCAAGACCAAGGCGGATTGGGTGTGTGGGCTTCATATCGCGCTTGCTGATGTCAAAGGCCTCAGTGTAGGCCGCCATTGAGTTTTTAATGATGTCTGAAAGGAAACAAAGAGCATGAGTACTGTGGACTCTTAAGCATTACAACAAATAGACCTGTACAATGCTAGTGTGTATAAAAAGAGACAAAGGATAGAAAACCCAGAAAAGGAAACACACTTAATTGCTATTTAATGATGTATAACAAGCTCAAACCAATGCAATCAGAAATAGGTCAAATAATATTCATGAAGGTTATGCTCAGTTTTTTTCAAAATGGTTTCAGACAAGTAATTTTGGAGACTGTATTTCGTGGTTCTGTCAATTTTAACTCCATTATACTCTGGCTTATTAAAATTCTTAGCCATCAGTTCACTAACTCATATCTTACTGGTTTAATGTGTAGAAAAACAAAGTATAAAATCAAATTGTAGTTTAATGAGGGTTTATGTTAATTTATCTATGTGAAGTTGTCCGCAAACCAGATTAATTCTCTAGAAGTCACTGCTCCTGGCCAAGAAATAGTCCTGCATACCAAGACAAACAAAAACTATTGTGTGGCTTTCGACATGCCGACTAACACTGGTTACGCAACTTTTTAAGTTAATATGGCTCAATGGCAGCTGAGTAGCCTGAGAACTTCTCAATTTCATCTTTGTGACTCCTCACACACAACCTAGCGATCACATATACACCTATTTCTTTATTAATAATGGTGTTGGTTAATGAATCCGGATGGTTCTGGTCACTTTGACACTGATGTCCTGGCTGTGGGCGCCTCTTGTTGTGTTTGGCAGGTGATGACACACAAAATGTTGAACATTTTCTCAATTTGTTTAAAAGCGTGCCGTGTTAACTCTGGAGAGAATCAAACAAACACAAAGTAAACTTCAGTAGAGTTCAAGTCCTAATAACTTGAGTGTTGGTGCTTATTGATAAACATGGAAAGTGAGCGCAGATCAGTAGGACAGGCTACTGACACGGTACAAACCAGCCGCTGCATCTGCTCTTATCCTGAAGCAGCTGCACTAATAATTCTACAGCGCTGGTCCGTAGCAGAAACCCTGTATTCACACTTTTGTTGCCAGTCTAATTTGACAAACCGCCTCGTTCATATCAACGTTCTCTCCTTAACCTGCATGTCCTTGTAGACATGCAGGTTTTCTTTTTATATACAGTATCTTTTAGGAATCGAACAGCAAAAATGTAATTCAAATGTTTTTCACCTGTGAGATTCAAATCTATTATGGGACAGAGTTTATATAGATGTGCTTAATTTCCTTTAGCTGTCTTCTGGGACTGTATAGAGGTCGTACATTATTGGTTCACATATCATTAAGAAATATCTGTGTTCACCTGCAAAGCTTTCACATGTCTGAAATGACAGCATGGACTCTCCCCCCTCAGACTGCTTTCTTCTAACATTTTTTTGTAGCGACAAATCAGTGAACAGAGTTAAGTAAATTTAGAAAGAGGTGTCGACTGACTGATGCTTTTAAAGTTGCTACAGACAAAACCTTTCTGACTGCCAGGTGCATACGGACACTATTGTGATTACTAAGGAGCCAATGTCATGCATAATAATTAATAAATATAATTATCACAATCTAGCTTTCCAGCCAGCAAAATTTACAAATAAATGAATGATTTTAAGTTAAACAAAGCTCTAGAAGCCCCCACACAGATGGTATAAAAAAAGGAATTAACATAGAGCTTACCATTCCTCTCTTCCTCTGTAGCCACCTCAGCCAAATAACGATAGTAATCGCCTTTCATTTTCAAATAAAAGACTTTACTTATTGATTTAGAGGCCTTTTTAATGAGATGATTGTCCAAGAGATCCTGTAGCAGAAAACAAACAAATAAAACAGACAGTTAGAAAAGAAGCACCACCACTGTCCTTATGTTTAAACAACTTTTCTAAAAACACTAAAACAAATCTAAATCCAGTGTGGCTTAATGCATCCCAGGCCTCTGTTGGTAGTTTAAAAGATTGAATCTCATGACCATTAACAACACGTTCGGGTGCATATGGAACTGTGATCAGATCACTCAAGTTGGATATTAGACACAAGTGTCAGTTCACTTAACAGTTATACTGACCAGGGGCACCAAAAACTTTTTCATGCTACGTTAAGTTAGAGACGCCTATGTCGAAATTGCAAAGACATTACTCTCAATAGATAGAACCAGTAATCAAATATTAGCAGTCTCACCAACACGTCCTTGCAGATATCTTTCAGCTCGTTCTCAATCTTTTCCTTGTATTTATTAACAATGGCAGTCTTCTTTTCGTTGTCAGGTTTCTGCTGGATGCTGGCCACCACACGCCAGGAGGAGCGTCGGGCACCCACCACATTCTTGTAGGCCACTGACAGCAGATTGCGGGCGTCATCACTTATCTCCTCTTCACTGTCCACTGTAACCTCCTTCATTATAGCAGCCATGTCATCATACCGCTCAGCCTGCTCGGCCAGCTTGGCCTTCGCCTCAAGACAGCTCATGACTGCTCACTGGAAGAAGGAAAAAAAAAATGGGTAAAGAACCACAGATGTCATTTATGTGAGAAGCAAGTGGGTATTTTTTAATTTTTTAATTATAGATATTTAAATTAGTACCCAAAATAAATGTGGAGAGCAAAGTCCATTGAAAAAAATGAAAAAAAGAATTACTGTTCTGTGGTTGTATGCTTCAGCCAACCAGTGCAGTTTCAATCTACATACACTTTTTTTTAGCCTAAATGTCCGCTGTGGATCCTGCTGCCTGGAGACGCGTTCACCACACATAACTCTTGCCCAAGGAGTACATGACGACGATAGCACTGCAGCTGTTCAGCTATGCTACCAGAACTGTCGATGCGAACGCGCACACTCTTGAGCGAGAGTTGTGTGTGCGTGTGAACGTTAAGCAGCTCCGGAGTAGGGTAAGAAACTAATGCTAATATACAGCGTATACAGTCATGCACAGCTCCACTATTTCAAACAAATATATTGTCATGCAGAGTGCGAATGCATGGCACATGGAACACCATTTATAGCAGTTCAAGCAGTCTTCTGCAATATGTATATTGCAGATATTGATAATGAGATGACAATAAATCGATTTCGATATATTGTGGAGCCCTAGTTTGAAAAAGTGGTCACCAGTTACTAAAATTGTATTTGGCTGCAATGCTGCTTACCCCTGAAACTGTGCTGAAACGTGTTTTGTGGTCTTTAACTCTTCAACACCCGTTTTTGAAGAAATTTCCTCAAGGTCTCTTGAGATATTGTGTTCACAAGGACGGACCATTTGAAAACATAAATACATATAAACTTACAAGAACAGAGAAATAATATGTGCTTACTCTGGTGTGAATATCAATAAATGCTTCTACTTATTCCAACGAATAAAAGCTATAGCACACACCGAAACTACTGTCTCTGAGGCTTGCTGCTCTCTCCAGGAAGTACTTGTACAAGGAAACTGTGACACACACCATGGCAGTTCAAAGATATGGGTGATAACATAGCAAGTTAGTGCACTGTACTGACTATATTCAAACTATAAAATGTTTCTTATTTGAAATGTTAAATGTTTGTTAGCTACACAGGGAGAGGGTGTAGTAGCAACATACAGTTGTATTTAAATTAAATAATTGCTGTAAGACCTGTAAGCATTGGAATTTGAGAAAAATGGATATAATGCTATGGCTGTGCTATTAGCCACCCTACTGTACTGTACAGTATTAGCCTAGCGAGTCCCAAAGCAATATTGAGTGTTATAGGGTTGTAAGAGGAGAAAAGTAATGGACCAGCGGATACAATGTTCACCACTACACCAACGACCTACATACTTTTGACCTATCCAAAATAGCCAACAGGCTTTCACAAAATCAATCTAATTAGTTTCCATTCCAGAGAGTATGCAGTTTGACATGTTCAAAATCTGTCCTCAGATAAGGAAAAGCAAGCCAATTCTAACATACGGTATGTACAAACGTATCACAAGTTGGGCAACCAAGTAAACAGAAAAAAGAGCCAAGGAATGAACTAATGACAACCTGACAAATACCAGAGGATTTGCCATTTGAACAGATCAAATGTGGGTTGATTCAGTAAGATCTTAAGGGAAAAAGTACTTCGATGGCTTTCACACACAAGGACCTATGTTAAAATACATTGCAGTTAACAACTTCCGTTGAATAGTAACCCTGAAGACAAATGCATTAAGTGTGTTAAGTATTCCATTTATAGTGCAGCATTACTATAACCACTCCAACACATTAACACACGCACTGCTTTAAAACTTGCTTTTGATGATAATTATAATCTAAACGGGATATGGTCAATCAATAAAAATTGTGACATGTTGGACAACGTGACACGTGAACATGATTGAATAAGACCCACGGTTATATTTCCATCAGTAAATAACTTGTGCAGCAAAAAGTGTAAATAAGAAGTCACGTATGACGGTGCCACTCGACGAAAGAATGCAAGCTACAGCCACGTGTACAACAGAAAGGACATTTTCTCCAGGGTAAACGTTTCCTTTCTCTCATCAACGCACACACCACACCCATCCCTCTACCTGCGACTCGCCAAACAGGAAGTGCGTTCACAGTACCACTATGTCTTACTAATATAGACCCAGAAACCCGTCCAGTACATTGAAAAACTTGGTTGTAACGAGGCGTACCATATAGTACACCAATATCAACCTAAACCGCTTCCCCACAGGCCCTCGTGAACACTTGCAAATATGGCGTTGACTATTTCCTGAACCGTCAGCATTCCTAGCCAAACATCTTTTGTAAATGCTTCCAGCGTTCCATTCGAAAATGAGTCACCAATTCTTGTTGAACTCAACCAGAGACGGTGACACCGCGGTTTGATATCGCGACGCAGAACCCATAAAAAGGCGTGCAACTCAGTGGAGCCCGTTCGGAAGCAGTTTAACTCGTCTTTCTATTTTTGTTTGTACACTGATGGACATAACATTAGCGAATACAACCGATACTGCGCGAATATCACACACGCTGAACCGGATTTCATTTGATCGCTACCCGCAAAATAACAAACACACTTAGCCAAAGATGTCTCATTTCGAATCCAGCCATTAGACATATCCCAAACTGTACCAAAGCTAGACACTGTTCATTGAGCTGATACCTGTCGCCGCTAGTCGGGGGGGGGGAAAGGCGCTTCCAATGTCACTATATTTGTTAGAAGGTCTTCCAATAACTCACACAAACATAACAAACCCTTTAAAAGCCCTAAGTGCTCCCATACCTGAGTGCTAGCAGATAGCAGCGATGTCGGCGTAGCTTGCAACAGCTGACTGTGTCGAGAGGTGAGTGTGCTCCACGGGGTCTCCCTCCAACCACTCCAGGCCAAGGCAAGGCCCGAGGGGAGGGGTTAGTGGTGACGTCAAACGTTACCGTGACAACCGAACACAAGGGCCTCCGGACGTTGTAGTCAACCTTCCTGTTCCTGCCCCAGTCTTCACCAGGAGAAGGGCTCACAAGTGATGGCAAATGATGTAATTAACCTGAGGACATTTTGTTTTTCATGACCAAATAATCGTTGTATTGCAGTTACGACATTGTGCCATGGCGTTTCATTCCAGCAAGTAGAGATGTTGGAATCATGTCAGCAAGTTTAATATGGATCTGTAATATACTGACAGATTCAAACACTGTTTTACTGCAGGAGCTTTCTTAACAGCGAGTGGAACCACCTGAGGAAGCTCTTCACTCACACGCTTCTGAGAGGCTGGAAGAGTATGCTCCTGAAACTTCAGACCTCAAATTCCTTTCAAGGAATAAAACACCTGAATTACTTTCATAACACATTCACCTGTTCACTCACAAGCGAAATAAAAACAACAGGGTGGCCTCGGGTCGAATGATTCTCAATACAGTGCAGCCACTTGCTCAGATTCAGCAGCATCACAGAGGCTTGCTGTCAAGGAAAATTACCAGAGACTATCGTATCACAGAACTCACACTATGATATGGGCACAGAAAAGCTGTTTTGTTGGCTGACTGCTCTGCTCATGTGGGTGATAAAGGTAACGACAAGCAGATTAATTGGGAGAGGGACTATATCATGATAAAAAAAAAGCTTACAGAAAGGGATCGTTAACACCTGGTAGACCAGGTTACTTTTTCAAGATTTTCCTGAACAGAAAGTGGAACGACTTGAAGGTCTATACTCAGCTTTTGAAAGGTTGTTAGAGCCTCCTCCCTCAACCTCAGGTCTTGGGCTAAGCCCCAGGTGGCCTTTGCGTCTGGTGAGGCTGTCAAAGCCCTTGGTTGCAACTTGCCCCAGGTCCTATTTGTACATACTATCTGGCAGCTAGATTGTACCTTTGTTATCTAGAGGTCTCGAAAAGCTAGCTATCAATCACATTAGTGCTGTTCAAAAATATGGTTAAAAACACACACATCGAAGATAGTGACAGTCAATGTAAAGCCCCAACTCAGAAAAAGTTGGAATGGTATGGAAAATGCAAATAAAAAAAGACAGCAGTGATTTCTAAATTTAATTTAGACAGTATGAACACAGGGTATTTTATGTTTTGTCTGCTCAACTGCATTTTATTTGTAAATATGCATCCAGTGGCAATTTAGGGCTAGTGATGACGTAGAATGATTAAAAGATGCAGTGATTTATCAACAGATGATTGTAATCATGATTCAGTACAAAAGCAGCATCCAGGAAAGGCCTAGACCTATAACAGCAAAGATGTTTGAGAAAATCATTGAAGTGTTTAAAAGCAGGGTTCCTCAAATAAAGATAGGAAAGGATTTGGATATTTCCTTTACAGCGCATAACATTATTAAAAGATTCCAGGAATCTGGAAGAATTTCAGTGTGTAAAGGGCAAGGGAGAGAGCCTAAGCTGACTAACCGTGCTCTCCGATCCCTCAGATGACACTGCATCAAGAACCGTCATTCATCCATAAGCCATATAATCACATGGGCTCAGGTTTTCTTTGGCAAACGTTTGTCAAGCACTAAAATACTTAGTTACATCCACAAATGCCAGTTAAAACTTTACCATCACAGTGGTAGGGTAATATTAGACCCGGACTCCTTCAATGAGCACAAAGCTGCAGCAGTTGCATTACTGGTAAAAAAATATAATTATTTGGAAGAGGCCAATGCTGAGACTCAGCCATGAATTAGTATGACAATGTAGGGGTTTTCACTAGGGACGTTTGAGAGCAAAGGCAGAAGTGTTGGGTTATCAAGAGCTGCATTTTAAGTTAATCAGTGCTACACTCTACTGTTGCTTGCTACCAATTAAGGACAAAACAACAGAAGCAAAGCATGCCTTACGTTAAAAGTTACAATGAGACAATGAGATTTTAAAAAACAATTTATCCACAACAGGTTTTAAATAAGACAAATGATATGAAAACATTTTATTACAATCCAAAATGAAGCATAGAGCACAAATAAACATGTAAATGACAAAATTGTGTGAGTCAATATCCATGTAAATCAATGACCTGAATGCATGTAAAATAAAAATTAAATAGAAGGTGGTGTGATAATTAAGTCAGAGCTTGATTCACTGTTTCTATACTGCCAGATCGCTTGAAATTAGAAAATGTTTTTCAGGCACAATGAAGATGCAGAGCATTTTGTGGTCACTGGGAGACAGAGGAAAATGTGTGGACAGACTGTGAAGAGGCAGAGCTGCCCTCTCTGGCTCTGGCCACTAGCTTCTGTCTCAGGTCTCTGATTTCCTTTAGCAGTTCTCTCTCACTGCTGTCCAACTGGGCCCGGCCTCTGTCTAAGGAGACTTACAGAGTAGAGAGAGACATAAGGACAAACCGGAATATTAGCCACACAAAAAATTATCAAAGTGATAACATTCATTTTTTCACATTCTGAATGAAACAAGCATTTTTAAATTGCACTTTTAAAAAAAGTAAAAGGAGGTCTCTTTTCCTGGTTTTGCTATGGTGACTGATTAATATATTTTGCTACATTGATTTTGTGGTCTCTGAAACTGACCACTATCTTGCTGTGATTGCACCAGGAAAACACAATAATGTGACAAAAGTCACAATTATAAAATATATTACTGTAGCCTTTAAAAACAAGATCATATATATTTAGTGACTTACAGTTGGTGGAAGTGCTCTCTGAAGGTGAGCTGCTGTTCAGACACAACATGTCAGTTCCTGCTTGTCTTGCAGTGGTGGCAGTGTTGAGTTTGATGGCCCGACTAGCTCCGTTGACTTCAACATGACCAGCGGTGGTGGTGCTGGGTCTAAGTGGGAGTCCTCTGGTCAAACCTGGGGACCTTGTCCTCGTATGTCTCTGGTCAACTGATACAAAGCAAACACTGTCATACTACATCCATGACTGGAAAGTTCAATTCACCAGCCACAAACAACACTGGTGTGTGCTTATGCGTGCTAATACCTGCGTCTGCTGAAGACCAGGCCTGTCCCTGCTCCTGTAACTGGGCTCTTGCACTCATCACTTCTTCCCACTGCAAATGAACAAATACTGTCTAAATGAATAACAGTAGTCAATGAACTTATGTTTGCAAATCCCCCAGTTTGTCTTCATTGATAATTCATAATTAACTAGGGCAGTGCCATTTCTAAACAGGCTGTTTGATTGGCCTGTGGTGATGCTGGTTGCAGCTTTCTTTCTGTAACTGTGACAAAAAAGAAAGGAAAAGAAAAAAAAAAGAAAAAAAGATTGACGGATGAAATAAAATAACTGAAGCTATACAAAGTATTGCATTAGAAAAGCCTGTAAATTATGGTACAGCAGATGTAAGTGTATTTAAAAAAAGGGTAAAACAGTCCAAAAATAAAACTTAAAATATAGAACTAGAGATATAAAAGTATAAAATCAAATAAAGATAAACATGGTCAGTAATGGTGACAGTCTGGCAGCCTAGTGACTTACGGTTAATGCGTTAGTCACACACATTTCACCATATCTGAGAGGAGTTGTACAGGCGTATATGGCCTGGGGGATTAACCACATCCTCAGCCTGGGGGGGGGTCAGTATTGTCCATAACATCCAGCATTTGATGATGATGCTTCTTACATGCGACAGTTGAAAAAACAAGAAGAAAACAAACATCTCCCAGTGAAAAAGCTGTGTCATACACGTAGAGGACACAGATGATTTGATGCTGTTGTGAACGCGTCTGTGCAGAGAACCCCTGCTGTGAGGCAAACTGCGGGTAAAGTCTGTAGCCAATCCTCTGGATTTTACCCGGAGGTCATGTCTGAAAACGGCAAAACATACTCTTGAACATACGTTGTTCTCACCTTCCTTCCTGCCACATCTCTAATGGTGTCAGCCAGTCTCTCCTGCCCTGCCAGGGTTTGCCTGTGAACCTCTGCCAGCCTCTCCCTCTTCCTCTTCTTCTCAGTGTCGACCTGCTGCAGCCTGTCCTCCACATCTCTCTGCCAGTCTGACTCTAGGCCAAGCTGACATGCCTCTGCCAGGGATTCCTCCAGGATCTGCAAGTTTAGAAAATCTTAATGGAAGAGGAGATCATGGCTACCTCTGCCAAAATCACAGTTCGATTGATTGTGAGGCTTTCTTGTAAAACCAGATGTACGAGTGTATTGAGATCTAGTTTATATATAAAAACAATATATATAATTTTTTTTTCTAAACTCATTTCACAGGGTCCATACTGGAAAGTGTCATTCACCTGCATGTTTGTCTCAGTGCAATGCAGCAGCTCTGTGAGGCTCTCCTCCTCTCTGTCTGCCTTCCTCATTCTTATCTCCACCTCCTCCTCCACTTCTCGTCCCATGCGCTCCTGCTCCTTCAGCAGGTGCTAAGGGCAAATGGTCATGGGAAAAAAAAGATGTAAACAGAACATCATCAACCAAAGGTCACTGCAATAATCTCAAGGTGCCTATTACATTACTTAACAGCTGCAACTTAACACCCTAAACCTTACTGGCAGCCCGGTTACTACTGTTACACAATTTCATTTGATCTATATCAAGAAGGAAAGAAGCTTTAACTTATAACATTATATGATATTAGAATTGCAAATACATTTCTTGGTTGACAGGAAATTTGTTTGACTAACAAAAGTAAATACAAGCCTCAAAAAAGATGAGAGGTTAAAAACGAGGCGTTCATCACCTGTTCAAGTCTTCTCCTCTGAGCCTCTAGCTCCATCTGTCTGATCTCCAGATCCTGGACTGCTGCAGCCGATTCTTGCTCTCGGAGATCCATCTGTAGGAGGACATGGAAGCAGCTGATAAGTTTCACAAATTATTTTTAATGTGATACATTTTATATTGACCAAATTAAAGTAATGCAGCATCGAGTCACAGAGGGTGATCATAGAACGGATGCTGATAATGAAATGCTGTCATTTTTGAATCTTACCTGAAAACCCTAAAGTTTT